CTGCACTCTTTCCATTGCTCAAGAACCTTAAGTGAATCTTTGACCCCCTTCATTTCCAAAATACGTTTCCATCTTTAAAAAATTAAACATGAATACATGTATAAATATATATGTAATGAACATATATGTAATGAATATGTGTATTCTTGGAAGGATTTTGGGGGTGGATAAAAGAGAAGGTGATGAGTATAAGTATGTAAGGTATGATGGTCTCTAGGGTGAAGGGTGCACTTCTATTTTGTGTTTATGTATTTAGTAAGTTTTATGTGTTCATAGTATATGTATTTTATAAATAAAAAAATTAAACATTACTGCTGACTTTACTATGGCGCTATGTAGTCTTAATTGACAGTTGTTAAGCAACATCAACTTTGCAAAACTTGCAGTCAATAAGAGTAAGCTAAGACATCATCCTCAACCCTATCCCTTATAGCGCTAAAGTGATACAGCATAATGGTGGTCTTAAAATGCACAATGGTGGTCTTAAAATGCACAATGGTGGTCTTAAAAATATTAAAACAAAAATGCCTTTTTCCCAACTTCAAAATAGCCTGGAGGGTGTTATACACAGTCAGAGACAAGCCCCACCCATGTCTGCATATCACCACAGACATAAGTAGGAAAAACACACTCCCAACTCCACACTGAAGCCATCTAGATGATTTCACAGCAAGAAAGCTGTGTTTCTTTGGACTGATCCTATTCATTCCAAGTAAACAGAAGATCCCAACTTTAGACTAATCTGAGATGGACAGGACTCCATTAAGGATGGGTTGGAATGCTGTAATAAGAACGCCATGTAGTCAATGTTTTTCCAGAGCGATCCCAACCATTCCAGAGCAAGATAAACTCCTGTGTAGCCAGACTCCAACTCTTCCACCATTTGAGCCCTATTTTGCTTTAAACTAGATGTGGAAGGGACTGTTCAGGGCCTATTCCCACCATCACCATACCAGGCAGTCTGAAGACTGTCTCCCAATCCACTCTCTAAACGCTGGGAGGAGTGAGGAAGCAGACAGGCACCCTTTTCACTGGCCAACAGTTAACTGAAAGTTCAAATTTTGCACTTTCCCTGCCTCCCACGTGGTTTTTTTTCAGTTCTTAACTCAAATCTAAGTACTTAAGTCAAGTCAATATTTTCCTATGAGAGTGGTTCTTAAGTCAAAATGTTCTTAACTCAAGCCGTTCTTAAGTCAAGACCCCACTGTAAACAGATCCCAACTTTAGACTAATCTGGGATGGGCAGGACTCCATTAAGGATGGGTTGGAATGCTGTAATAAGAACGCCATGTAGTCAATTATTTTTTAGAGTGATCCCAACCATTCCAGAGCAAGATAAACTCCTGTGTAGCCAGACTCCAACTCTTCCACCATTTGAGCCCTATTTTGCTTTAAACTAGATGTGGAAGGGACTGTTCAGGGCCTATTCCCACCATCACCACTTTGGTCACCCTCCTACATGTGGAGGACAGAGAGGGGAAACTGGGTACAGCAATCCTCTTTAGCTATGCTGAGTTTATCCAAATTGTAATGCCTGAATGAGGCTCAGGTGCAGTTTGAAGCTGGATTTCAAATGGGAGTAAGGGGGACTCTTGGAAATGAAGAAAAATGGCTCATGGAAAGAATTTTAGGATTTTCTGTTCTTTTTGGCCTGTCCTTAGTTTGTGGTTTTCTTACCATTTTCCTCTCACTGTTTTGAACGTGTATTGTTGTTTCATCTGGTGCTGTTGTGTCTAATACTGTCACAGCCAGTGGCTAAACAAAACATAACAATATTGCTGTTGCTTTAACAATATATAAGAACAACACAAAAACAGAAAAATGTTTTTCTGAGAGGAAAAAATTGCGGTGACCTCAAGGATTAAGGTTGCTGCTCATTTTCATGGTTTGTCCTCAAGAACAGCACATTTTTGCATTGTCTAAATTTCCACATCCTGGGAATTATCATTACGTTAATTAATTATAATAACTATGTGTTGTGCAGTTGATTCTGACTTATGGCAACTTTTCCAGGATATGTGGTCTTTTCTCCTGAGAGGCACAGTGGGGAATCAAACTCCTCACACTCACACACATACACACACAGTGTTTGTATATTTGAGAGGCAAGCAATTCCATTAAAGGAAACAGTGCAGGTTGAAAGAGTTAAAAACCACATCTCAACACTGCTTCTCTGATCAAAACTGGAAATGCACACATGCCCACACATAGTGGCAGTAAAGGAAAAAGAGCATCAGAACACCGGCCCCCAGATGTTCACTGTTAGTTCTTTTTTTTTTAAGCATAGTGGCTGTTTCTAAAAGATGCTCTCTCTCCCCACCTATATTGCTTTGCTTGAGTCTTGTGTTTTTTTTAAAAAAGTATTTTGAGATCAAGAAATATTTTGAGACTGAGGTTGTTTCTATATTGCCTAAAGACACATCAGAACTGAAGACTCTGCATTAAGCAGTCTCTAGTCAACACAGGGCAGTTTTTAAAACATGGATTTAAAAACATTTTTTCAGAACGCCACCTGCTGGCACAACTATTACAATGTTGGTTGTTGTGGGTTTTTTAGGCTATTTGGCGGTGTTCTGAAGGTTGTTCTTCCTGACGTTTCGCCAGTCTCTGTGGCCAGCATCCTCGATGTTTTTCCCCTATGTATCCAGAGTTCAAAAATACCAACTCTGGCTTGTTTTTGGGGCAAAACTGCTATATTTGGAACACTGAACATTTTTTTACCATTCAGAACTCCTCCAAACAGAACTACATCATCCAGAAAGGTCAGGGTCCTGCACAGGAGTTCATCAGCTGCAGCATAACAATGCAAATCTTTGTTATATGTTGAACTACAAAAGCATCTCTGTGTTGGTACAATTTTAGAACAGTTCCAAAATAGATGGGCATTCCATTCTGTTTGAAATCACAAGGTTATGGAAATCCTTTAATGTTCTGTGCAAATAGCAGAGTACACATGTGCAGATGACCCAGAATTCTAATCCAGGCGTACGGGTGAGTGTAGGCGGCCAGGAGTGCATGTGTACGGGTGTGCGCGTTCGGCCCTCAAAAATCTGAAACATATACAGTGGACCCTTGACTTACAGACGGCTTGACTTACAGACTTTTTGAGTTACAGACTTCTCTGGCCGCAAAATTTAGGTTTGACTTGCAGACTGAGATTTGACTTACAGACCAGAAAAAACCCAAAATGGAACAAAAACGGTCTGTTACGGGATTAATCGGTTTTCAATGCACTGTAGGTCAATGGAGACTTGACTTACAGACTTTTTGACTTGAGAACCGCCTTCCAATACGGATTACGTTCTCAAGTCAAGACCCCACTGTATGTTGTGGCCCTCACTCTGAAAAGTTTGGAGACCCCCGATCTATCCACTGCACCAAGTTGGCTACTTACTGAGAAGCATGTCTTGTTGACTTAGGTAAAGAATATTTGCAGAAGGCTTGTTGTGCCTCAGTTTTACCACAGTACAATCTAATAAAAGGAGACCCAATACATCTTGTTTCTACTGGGACTGTGCCTTAACCAAGTGAGCAGATAAGAGTACCACCAGCTTGCCTTGCCTATTCTAGCAGAAATTACATACACACACCACTCTTATGAGTAGGTTTCTGGAATACAAATCCTTAACTCAGCATGGTCAGTGTTGAAAAACCAGTTAAAATGTCAGCTATTTTTAAAAGCAACACAATACTGTAGGTGTTATCTAAAAAGCCAAGGAGGAAAGGCTTGTGGTTTCATTTCACAACCAAACTTTGCATCATTTCCTGTTGCTGCCTGCCATCACTGGAGAAGACAAATGATTATACTACAGCTAACTGTGTTGTGGAGGAAGGAAAATGTAATTTTTTTTAAAAAAAACTTCATTTTGCAGAAGTTGTAAAGCTTTTTAGTCTGAAAATCTGTGTCTGTGTTGTCATGAGAAGTCTTATCTGTTTGCCTATAGCCAGTGTGGGAAACTAAAATGGGTAAGTGAAGGAGCAGATTTAACCATCAGAACAGATGGACGTTAGGCATTAATGAGAAGGTCAGTTTTCTATTTTCATGTGCCATCTTTCCTAGTCTTCTGCAAAGCTGCTCTTCTGAGTCTGAGTTTTCTGATTTTTTAGCTGCATGTGTTATTGTTACTGATGTTTCAACCAAGGTATAGAAAATCTTCAATAATTTTTATTTTTCACTGTCAACATTAAAGTCATCTAATTCTTCTGTATGCACTGTTTTTTCTTCTTAATGTTCATTTCCAACCATGCTTTTGCACTTTCCTCTTTAATCCTTTTTTGCTAATAAATATAGGGTCTTTGGCATGTCTTAAGCTGGACCATAAAGAAGGCTGACTGCCAAAGAATTGATGCTTTTGAATTGTGGTGCTGGAGGAGACTCTTGAGAATTCCCTGGACTGCAAGGAGAACAAACCTATCCATTTTGAAGGAAATGAACCCTGAGTGCTCACTGGAAGGACAGATCCTGAAACTGAGAATCCAATATTTTGCCCATCTCATGAGAAGACTCCCTGGAAAAGACCTTGATGTTGGGAAAGTGGGAAGGCAAGAGGAGAAGGGGATGACAGAAGACGAGATGGTTGGACAGTGTCATTGAAACTACCAACATGACTTTGACCCAACTCCGGGAGGCAATGGAAGACAGGAGGGCCTGGCGTGCTCTGGTCCATGGGGTCACGAAGAGTTGGACATGAATTAATGACTAAACAACAACAATGTTACTTATGTTTCTTCCACCAGTTTTCATCATATACTCCAACTTTCCTTGTATGTTTTTCATAAAAATTGAATAGAAAAGAGAGATGAAATACAGCCTTTAATTTCTCCTCAATCTGAATCTAATTTGACTTTTTCCACAGTATGTTCAGCATACACATGTAACAGATAGGGAGATAAATTACACCCAGATGAGGAGAAACACATGTTTGCTAATTGGAAACTATTCTGTTCTTCAATATTTTGTCCTAACAATCACCTCTTACTCAGACTTTAAGACAATCATCTGTTGTGGCACACACTTTTATTTTGGAAGGATCCATAACGTTTAATGATCTTCACAGTCAAAGGCTTTATTATAATCTATACAGCATGGATGGATTTCACCCCCACAAATAATTTCATACACTACTGTACTTGCTATATGATCTCCACTGCCTCTTTCTTTTCCAAATCTGGCTTGAACATCAAGCATCATACATCTCTCTCTCCATATATGGCAAAAAAGAATATAAAGAAACAGGATGATTTTCCATAGTTCCATGGTTCTTGTACTAGATGAGGGTACAGTTCATCTTTCTGTTCAGTCTCTAGGCAAATATATAATACAGGACGCTGACACCCATTTCTAGGGTGCAGTTACAATTTTGATTGATGAAAAATGGATTCAGATTTTAAAAAACTGATTAATTTGAAAAGTATGACTGGAGAAAATCTTTATGAATATCATGGAGTACCAGAAAGACAAATAAGTGGATGCTAGATATCAAGCCTGAACTCTCCCTAGAATCAAAATGGTTTAATTGAGACTGTAGTGGTTTGGACACATAATGAGAAGACAAAATTCACAGGAAAAAAAGCGAGATGCAGCCTTTAATTTGCAAAAGCTGAACCAGGCTGTTAATGATAGGCCTTTTTGGAGGTGGCTTATGCACCTTTTACTTCTCATCTTCTGTTAACTATTTTTAGTTTCAAAGCTTTTCTTTAATTTTGGTTATGGAAACACTTTGTTTGCATTATTTCCTGACAATAGTTCTAGTTTCAATCCACAGTTCTGTTTCGTGTTCAGTTGAGCTTAATAATGCAAACCTGCTCTTTACAGTGTTTAAATACTTTGAGAATATTACTTATATTACATTTTGGTATTATGTTTTTAGTGTTCATCTTCAGCTTTACTTTAGTTGTTGTTATTAACATTTAATAGTGTGTACCTATATTTTGCTGTTGTTTCTTCAGAAAGAATAGAGCTTCTCCATCTTTTACCTCCAATTTTATAATTTATGTGATTTTCATATTAGCTGTCTGGTGATATATCACCCTCCCTGAACATCGTAGGCAGAAATGCAGGCTGTGATCCATCTGAAATAAAGATCAGCTGACTCTTCTTTTGTCTATCCTGCCTTTCCTTTCAGTTCAGTGTGGCCTACATGGCTCTTCTTTTCCACCACTTTCTCACTCAGCAGGCCTGTGACATAGGTCAGACTGAGAGTGAATTTTCATTGTTGATTCAGGACCTGAACCTTCTGTTTCTCGAGACCCAGCCAAACACTGTAATTAGTACACACGTCTGTCTTGTTAAAGCTAGATTCTGTTTCTACTGTTTAATCTGTTGCATGGCGATTCTCAGTGAGCACAATGTGCCCTTGGATGTGCATGTGCAGTGTATCAGGATTCCAGGGGAAGTGTGCATGTTGCTTGATAATGCATTCAGTAATATAATGCTTTATTTGGAAAATGGGGAAAAACAATTGCACTTTTTTTTTTTGGATCATCCCATGATGCAGTGATGCACCTATTATCTTCCTTTCATCTTTATTTCGGAAATGCACTGTGATTCTTTTTTTAAGAGAAACTGTAAGTGCTCTACTCCAACTTACACTTTAATTTGTGGTCACAGTGTTTTCTAATTTCAAATATAATTGCTAGAGGGGGCAGATGTGGGAGCAGGAAATTTGACTGCTGTCACTGGAGGCTGACTCTGCCTGCTCATTTGATGATAAACACTGGATGCTATTAGGTTACAACTGCATTGATGCATATCTGGAAATCGAATATAAAGAGAGGACTAATCTAATGCAGTGTAAATTTTCAAACGTATCAGGCATGTTAGAAATGTATTAAAGGTGTGGAACCTGAATTTATTCTAATTTCAGGTCCTCTCATTCATCCAGACATATATACCACATGAAAGGATGGAGATAACTTGACTTTCCCAAAACTCTCGTAATTGTTTTCTCTTAGCCATGCTGTGGTTGGGGCTTCAGGGAACTGAAGTCCAAAATTTTCAGAGGGCTGAGAGTTCATCCAAACCTAAGGGGTAAACACATTATATGTTGAAATATGTCCTTATTCCTGTAGAATCTTCTCAATACTTACCGTTAATAATTCAGAGATGTAAGCAGCAAAAGTAAAAAGTGCATGAGGGCATAACAGCAAATAAAAGGGAGAAACAGGCATAACACTCTGCTCAAAAGATGTTGTGATGTCAGCTGTTTTTGAAGAAAGCTGATGAAAGAGGATATGATAGGGTCAAATACAGTGATATTCCTCTGATGCCTCCTCTCCTCCAAGGCACAAAGGGGCTGCCTGCCTATATGTCGTGCACTGCATTTGCTCAGCCCTCTCATAAATCAAGAGTCGAGGGGCTATTTTATATAGTCCTCATATAGTCCCAATGTCAAGTTCACGTTTTACAGTCGCATGATGGTCAGAATTAGTGTAATGAATTAAAGATTAGGTATTGCTAGCTGGATGGCTCAGTGAGTTGGAGGGCCTGGTTGCAAAGGCTGAGAGCCTGATTCTGTACAGTGCCTGCCTGGAGAAGGCCCAGGCCGTTTCACCTACATGGTTCCAGAGCGCGCCTCAGAAGAAATGGGTAAAACACTTCTGAGTGCTTTACACCTAGGAATCAACTTGACAGCACACAATTATTATTATTATTATTATCATTCATCACAGGATTTGATAGCAGACAAAACATGTTAACATCATGCAGTTTACTAGAGAAGGCTCCACAGTTCCACCAGGAAGCCTCATCCTGCACTGATCTCAGGACAAAAAGTGGCTAAGAGGCAACCGAGGGAGGGCAATTGCCTCAGGTTAAATTAAAAACAACAACAGCACAGTCCATCTTATGTACACTGAATAGTGGCAGTTGTCTAGAGTTTAAGATAGGCATATTTCCAAGCCCTTCTTAGAGACAATGTGATTTCAACTCTCGACCTTCTACATGTAGAACATGTGTTACACTGTTATACTATTACCCTCCTTTAGAGTCAGTCAAATGTCAAGACAACAATCCTTCCTTTCCTAGGTGGTAAAGAGAGATCTTTACTTCCCTGCTTAAAATGCATGTGGTCAATCTTGAGAAAGTAACAATTTCCCAAGCCATTTCTTCCACCACAGACTCTTCTGGAATTTATACATAGGAACATTCCCCACCACCACCACCACCACTATAAGATATGGTGGAGTTCCTTCCATTTCTATGAGGCCTGCCGAACTTGTTACCCACCAAGCGAAGGAAAGGTCTCCTCAGGCTTGGTGAACCTTTTCTTTGGGCTCTCTGCCCCAAAATCTAAAAGGGGATCAGGCAGTGTAAAGCACACCACAAAGGCAGTAGAAGGCCTACATTGGGTTGGTCGCTTCCCACATTGGGCAGCCCTTATGTATGAACTGTTCCTTCTAGTCTGGGTTAAAAACCATTGACGGTGTTGCCTGCCAGTAGCTACACCCCTCTTCAAATTTGGTCATGATGGAACACTGCAGACGAGGGGCTGCTAGTTTACAATTGCAACAGTTAGTAGGTTACTTGAAGTTAATAAAGATTAACTGTGAAGGAAATAATCTTAAACACAATTTGAAATTTGGCCACAATATGAAGGGAACTCAAGCATGGCGATGCTGCAGAATGATAGCGTATAACGAACTGCACCACTTTACAATATGGTTATGGTAGGGGCAAGGGTGCCACCCTACCTTGTAGGCAGAGAACTTGATAGAATATTTCCAGCCAATGTATTGGCGTTCCATTTGAAGGGTGTTTTATGTTTTATGTGGAAGAATATTAAAATATCTTGAAATCTGAAGTGAAACAGCTTAACAAACCTTTCTCTTTCTCCTGCACACATAGATCAGATCCAAAGCCTGGAAATTATCTCTTTTCAGACTACAACTGCCAGAACCCCTAGTCATGCTGGAGTTGTAGTCCAAAAACAAACCAACCAACCACCACAACAACCCACATTTCAAAAATACTGATCAGTACATTTAAGATCTTACAGTACATTTAAGATCATGATGGAGACAAATTGCCTTTCTTCACAAAATAGCAGCACAGAGGCTGTGCAAGTCAGTTCTGCAACTGATATTTTACCACAAAGTTCCTTCAACAGCTGGCACAAGATTGCATAAGGAGGGGGCGCACATAACTCTGGAACCAGTTTGGGGTTTTTGTGTGTATGTCTGTTTGTAGGCTGCTGGGTCTTTTTTTTTTTTACAGGTTTTGACTCAGCCACTTGATACAGCTGTCCCTCGTGCGATGGCCTGCAGAGAAATCGGTCGGCCACGTGGTGAAGATCATGCACCCATGAAAGCAGTCTTCAAAGTGGTCGACAGTCACCTCCACCCCAGCTTTCTCTAACCGCTTGGCATACATCAGCCCATCATCTCTCAGGATATCAATCTCGCATGTCAGGATGTAAGTCTTTGGCTGAAGGCGGAGAACTTCTCTCTCGGCCAGCAATGGAGCCGCGCGGACGTCTAGCAGCGCCGGTAAGGCTTGGATGATTTCTGCCTCCCCTGCTGAAGGTGTTACGGGCTGGTAGTTTTTTCGGAACCTTGAAGGCAAGAGGAAAGTCCAGTCAAGGTGTTCTCTGAAAGGCCCAACCTGGCTCACGTCAAGGGCAGTGTGGTTGTTGGCCACCATGGAATAGGCAAAGTCGTAGCTTCCATTCAAATAGTAAATCCAGAACTTCACCATGATAAAGCGGGGGAGGATGGCGGTGACTTCATTCTGCTGATACGAGGGGGTATTAAAATCAAATGACTGAAGGACTGGATAGATGAGAGCCTGCAGCTTAAACCGGTTGGTGATATTCTCCTCTTGACTCATCTGTAGAAGGAAGGGAGGGAACAGCTTATAGTTCAGGGGTCTTATAGATTTCTAAATAATTCAAAGGAATCTTGGAAAGTTTGCTTTTTCCTTCCTAGGCTGCCTTCCAAAAGGCTTCTCAAAAGGCTTAGCCTCCCTACAGTAAATTCTGCTCTCATAGAAGAGTAGTTCCTACAGACCACAAATAAACTTAATCTCTTCTGCTAAATTCTTCAGAAGGCCCCTTGCATTTCACAGTTACCTGAGTCAGTCTGATACCTTCTCACTGTACTGAAGGATTGTAGCTAAAACGATCTTATTCTTACCTCCACTATTCTTGAAAGAGATCTCGGGAAGAGTTACCTGCACCTAATCAACACCTGGAAAGCCTTCCTAATGTGTGTCATTCCTGGCAGTAATGGATTTGTTGTTGTTGTTGTTTAGTCGTTAAGTCATGTCCAACTCTTTGTGACCCCATGGACCAGAGTACGATAGGACCTCCTGTCTTCCACTGCCTCCCGGATTTGGGTCAAATTCATGCTGGTCGCTTCGGTGACAGCAGTAATGGATAAGCATCAATAAATGCAAGAGTCAGATGGAGTCTCATGTGTGGGAATGAACCTAGTATTCATGCCTAAAGGCAGAGAGAATAAAATGTGGGACTCCTGCTAATGGACATGGGGGAGGACTTCAGTCAGTGGTTGAGGAAGTGGAATTGGAGGGACATCAGTTTTGACTGTTCATGTCAAACAAAAGCACTGCAGAAGTTATGCAGTTTCTTTGCAAAAGGAAATGGGAGAGGGCAGCTAGAAGCATGGGGGAAAGTAATAGGAAAATTGTGCAGCTACTGCTGCCTCTACACATTATGAACTGTAGAAGCAGGGGGAGAGCTAGTCTCTGCATGACAGGTTCCTCCTTCCCCTCGGATTCCTGCTTCTCCTCCCTTCCCACACACCCCAACTGCAGCTAAGTCATAATCTAAGTGTGTGAATGTTGATTCATGCCTGATCAGGAAGGAAAGAGCATGTGTGTGTGTGTAAGTCTCATAAAGAGAATCTGCACTTCTGAATTCACAACTACATTACTGGTGGCTCATGGTGGAGCTGTGGCTCTCCTAAACAGGCCAGTGGTAGTCTGAAACAGCGCTTACCTCTTGGCACACAGCAGCTGCCAGGTTTCCTCCTGCACTATCGCCAGAAATTGCAACTCGGCTGGGATCCACTGAATATTGAGCTAGGACTTCAGGGCGCATGAAATGCTTTGTGGCATGCAGGACATCCTCAAACTGCACAGGGAAATGGACGTTGGGCATCAGCCTGTACCTGCAAAAAGAAGACATGTTTAAAGAAGGGAAGCTGTTGTACTTTCAGAGCATTGTCTCTGGTTTCCAGGATGCCCCTTCCCCAGTGTTGGAGCAGAAAGATGCTCTATGGCTGGCCAGCTCTTCCAGGTTTAGTGCTACAGCAACAGCCTCCCTATCCAGCACAAGGATTATATGTTACTTTTTTACTACACCGTCCAGAATCACCATGGGGAGTGTGAGAGGAATGGTCCAGACAAGTTAATTTCCCAATAAACTGGCCACAAATCTGCTCTTTCTGATGGTACCATGCGATTTTACAAAAGCCTTGGAAAGGATTCTGGGCATCATGCCCAGAATCCTGTACAGAATGCATGCATGGAAAGGCTTCTCTTTTGTAGGCAGAAGGATGCAGAGTGGGGGGAGGTAAACCAAGCCCACCTCCTCCAACCTCTCTGGATGGTCATGGAAGCTAGTTCCTGAAATGAATAGCAAGTGGGGGTGGAAGCCATAAAAATGAAAACCACCCAAGTGCAAGAAGAAAGCCACCAAGGGGAAGGAGCAGGGGGTTTCATAGGAAAAGGGCTCACCCTACTGCAGCCTTTTCACCAAGTTCAAATTTAAGATGCAGAGCAATGGCATCTAGGGATTATCTATTACAGTGGTGCCTCGCTTAATGATTGTCCTGCTCTACGACGAAGTTGCTGTATGATTAGGTTTTTGTGATTGCAAAACAATGTTTTAAATGGTTTTTTTTTCATTTAACGATGATCAGTTCCCTGCTTCGGGAACTGATTTTTGCTTTACGACAATCAGCAAACAGCTGATCACTGGGTTTCAAAAATGGCCACCGGCTGTTTAAAATGGCTCCCTGGTGTTTTTGGACGGATTCCTCGCTTTACAGGCAGTGAAAATGGCCACACCTATGGAGGATCTTCGCTGGACTGTGAGTTTTCAGCCCATTGGAACGCATTGAGGGGTTTTCAATGCATTTCAATGGGCTTTTTTATTTGGCTTTACGACATTTTCGCTCTACAGCGATTTCACTGGAACGAATTAATGTCATTAAGCAAGGCACCACTGTATCTGGATCAACCTCTACTTCCTAGCTTTTTATCAAGCAGATCAGCCATCACTAGCCTTTTAACTATTTGGGAGCATAGCTCCCATATCCCAGGGCCATGGTTAGTTTAGGGATAATAGGAGTCGTAGTTCAAAAGTCTGAGGGCATGGAAAGTGGAAGGTTAAACAGAGAGGGGCAGGGTCAATCTTGAGTCCCCAGATGCTTGTGGAATAAATCTCCATACCCTTGATGGAGAGGGAGAGGGAAACTTTAAGGGATCCATGGTTAGTATAGGGATAATAGGAGTCGTAGTTCAAAAGTCTGAGGGCATGGAAAGTGGAAGGTTAAACAGAGAGGGGCAGGGTCAGTCTTGAGTCCCCAGATGCTTGTGGAATAAATCTCCATACCCTTGATGGAGAGGGAGAGGGAAACTTTAAGGGATCCTAAGTTGGAGATGAGATGGTGTCTTTTGCTGTTTAGTCGTTAAGTCGTGTCCGACTCTTTGTGACCCCATGGATCAGAGCACGACAGACTCTCCTGTCTTTCACTGCCTCCTGGAGGGTGCATTACACAAACTGCCGCTAGATGGCGGTGGATGCAAGAGGCCACTTCAAGCTGAAGTCAGTTGTGATGCGGAGGAGAAACAAAATCAGGTTCCTCACACACTATTTTAAAGGCCTTCTTTTAATGACCTTGTTTTTTAGTTCCTTCCTCTCCCAAGGGAGAGGGAAAAACTTGATATAGGTTTCCTCTAGAATCTGCTGTGTCAGAAACAGATGCTGTCCTTAGTCAGCTTTTGTGCCATTCCACTGCAGATATTAGGTTTCTGTTTGAACATAGTTATAGGATCCACAGTTTAGGCAGATGCTTTATAACAGGAGAAGAAAGGAAAGTAGCCAGGTTCTCATACTCATATTCAGCCTCCCCTGTCAAGGGATGGCTTAAGGCAGTTCCCATCAGCCCTAGCCTGAATAATCAATGATGAAGGATGATGAAATTTGCGGTCAAATAACATTTCAAGAACCAAAAGTTGCTCATCCTTGACTGAACAGTACCAGTGTTCCTTACACACCCCACGT